AGAATCTGTCCAATAAACAATGTTGTGCACAGGTATGGAAAGATGTTGACAAAGGTTTTTAGCATACCTTGAACCCATTACTGCACCATTAAGTTCCAGTCGAGGAATAGTTTGTGGTTTTAATGGTGCTACATGTGTTTTCGCTCCAATCAACGTACACTCTATGACATCTTTTTTCATTATTCTTAGATATGCCACACAAGCACTTGCGTGTTCACTGGCATCTACAAATATGTGCATTTGCGTATTGGTATCCTTCCAGTTTTCGAGTTTATTAAAAAAGTACCTTGGAATTGAAACCTTCTCTATTTCTGGAAGCTGTTTCAACCAAACAAGCCATTTTTGAAACTGTTCATTAGTTATTGGTTGATCCCAAGAAATGTTACTCCTCCATATTTCCTGTAAAAGGATCTTCACATAAATCAAAAAGTTTGCTAACAAACCTAAAGGGTCATATATAGACATTAAGATTTGTAAAATTTCTCGCTTTGTTGGCTTTCTTAATCCACTTAAAACATCTTTGTTTCCTTTATTACATTTTAAATTGAAAATAAAATTATCTCCCTTTAAATCCCACCACATTCCTAGAACCTTCTCCATTCTCTTATTGTTCTCTAGATCTAGGTTGACTTCTTCGTTATTTCCATGAGTGGTGTTCATGATTTTCATTAATTTTTCAGAGTTTGATCTCCAGTTTCTTATTTCAAAATTTCCGCTGGCGTGAATTAAGGCAATTTCTTTTGCTAATTGGATAGCTTCATCCTCAGTGTCTGTTGATTCTAAAAGATCATCGACATAATGATTATTTACTATGGAATCAACAGCTCTAGGATATTCTACACTAAATTTCTTCGCATTAGCGTTTTTAACAAATTGTGCACAACTGGGTGAGCAGGTAGCTCCGAAGGTCATCACAGTCATGACGTAAACTTCCAAAGGATTATCAGAGCTACCATTTCGCCACAAGAATCGTTGTGCATGTTGATCTTCTTCTATTATACCTACACGAAGAAACATTTCCTTGATGTCTCCAGAAAAGCCAATCTTTCTTTCACGAAATCGTAGGAGGACGCCTAATAGAGAAGCAAGTTGGTCATCTCCTTTTAATAACATGGAATTTAAGGATATTCCCTGTACGGTTGCTGCTGCATCCGAAACTAATCTGAATTTGTCAGGTTTGTTAGGATTAAAGGCCGGAAATATGGGAAGATACCATGTTTTTTTTTGATGCTGTAAGAGTTCTTGTTCTGACAGTTTTCTAATATATTCCTTTTCTAGAAAATCTTGAATTTGTTGATTAATTTTGATACCTAGTTTTGGATTTTTCTTAATTTTTCTCTCTATACACTCCAGTCTTTGAATAGCCATGGGTTTACTATTAGAGAGTTTCAAATTGTCATATATCCAGAGTAATCCAATTTTATATTGGTTACCAATTTGAACTAGGGTGCTTTCTTGTATACGAATAGCCCTATCTAATTCTTTGGAGACGGTTTAATATTTTGAACTCCGAGGCTTTCAACTGAAAAGAAGTCTTTTACAGTATTAAAGAGTTCTTGGTTAGTAATGCTTTCAGAACTACATTCGCAAATATGGTAAGTGTAGTCTACTTCATTATTTGAAAACATTGCAAAAATAGTCCAACCTAACCTGGACTTTGCAGCTATCGGTTGAAGTTCTAGACCTTCTTTCACTCGAAGTGGTAACGCTAAGTCCCAGTTATCTAAGCCTATCAAGATCTGAGGAACAGCGTTCTTATATGATTTAAAAGGCAAGATTTTTAAATAGGGAAAGCTTTCTTTAATTGCCTTTGCGTCGAGAGTTTGTTTTGGAAGGCCTAATTTTCTTACTGTTCTGGCTGGTCGGTGGTCAAATTCTTTGGCCGCATTGTAATCACCAGAAATAGAAAAGAATACTTTTTCTGACGCATCTTCTAAGCGTTGTTGGTTTCCAGTCCATTTTAAGCAAAGTTGTTTTGGCTCTCCCATTATATTTAGCTTTTTAGCAATACTTTCTTCTAAAAAAGTAACGGAAGACCCTTCATCTAGAAAGGCAAATGTAGTGACCTCCCTATTTCCATTTCTTAAAACAACGGGAAGTATTCGAAAGCGTGTTCCTTGATGTGCCTCATTTTCTTCATCTGCAGATAAGAGGTGTGATTCTACTGTTTGCATACCGTTTTCCTTTTTAATAAGCTTTGTACTTTTATTAGATACTTGTTCTGAAAATTCATGAAGAAGAGGATGATGCTTCCTTTGGCATTCTTCTTTGTTGCATTTTACAGGATACTTACAGGGAAATCTGTGTTTCTTTAAGCAAAGCCTACATAAATTTAAGGCTTTAACAGACTCCCATCTTTGAGATAATGAATATCTCTGAAATTCTGAACAACCTGCAATCTTTTTACAATCTCTCTGATTACACAGTTTACAATTATGTGTTTCACTGGAGGCATTTGGTTCATGTATACTAGCATGCACATTATTATTAAATTGCCTTTTGTTATTACTTTGGTCATTAAGTACTAGTGTAGGAAGAGCAGAACAAACATTTGTTGCTAGATTATACAACCAATCAGCAAGTTCACTTAATCCCTGAAATTTATGAAAAGCACTGCGATATATCGCCCAATTAACTTTAATTTGTGAAGGTAGTTTCTCCAATAATTCATGCATAGGGGTAGGGTTATTAATGTAGTTTTTTAAATTAGATGCTTCCAATAAAACACATAAATTTTTAACTGCTAAAGCAAATTCTACCAGAGTTTCAAGTTTTTCCGGTTTAGGAGATGGTAATCTACGAATAGAATTTATTTGAGCTTCAATAATTTGCTCAGGTCTTCCAAAAAGGATTTTTAATGTAAAAAAAAAACACAGAAGTTAAAACACTTCACAAATGTGTATTTAGGTATAAAACAAACAAGTTAAAACTTTTTAAAAAAGTGTCGTCACATTTAAAGTTCTAGCAGAACGTTTTCGGTCACTACGGATCATCTTCAGTGCCTCGTATTTGTTGCTAACTATATAAATATGGTGTCTATAAGACTTCCATGTTTGATTTGGTAAAGTGTCACATTTTACATTAGGTAATGTTGATACTGTAGGTCGATGACAATGGATGTATTTAAAAATTTATTACTTTAGGGACTACATGTCTCCTAAGCTCGAGTACTTGCACGTTGTCAGTTGAAGCGACGACACAGACCAAATTTGGTCTGTGTCGTCGCTTCAACTGACAACGTGCAAGTACTCGAGCTTAGGAGACATGTAGTCCCTAAAGTAATAAATTTTAAATACATCCATTGTCATCGACCTACAGTATCAACATTACCTAATGTAAAATGTGACACTTTACCAAATCAAACATGGAAGTCTTATAGACACCATATTTATATAGTTAGCAACAAATACGAGGCACTGAAGATGATCCGTAGTGATCGAAAACGTTCTGCTAGAACTTTAAATGTGACGACACTTTTTTAAAAAGTTTTAACTTGTTTGTTTTATACCTAAATACACATTTGTGAAGTGTTTTAACTTCTGTGTTTTTTTAAACGATGGTATACAGCCAATTACGGGGTTTTTCCCATTAATTTTGATTTTTAATGTAGCTATAATTTGGGGCACACATTGAGGTAAAATTAAAAAACTTGAAACACTGACTCTCGCTGGACCTTTTAAACATTTTTGTAATCTTAATAAATTCTCATGATTATCTACTTGACATAGCTCAGAAGATCTTTCAAAACTACTAATAAAAACAGGCCAATCATGTGGATTGCCATTAAAAATAGGGAGATCTCCAGGATCTCTTCTTTTATATAATATACCTGAACTTTCATCGTTATAAGTTGGCAGAGGCTTACCAAGTGTTGGAGTTAAAGGGGCAACATTGTCGATAAAGGGCTTATCTATATTTAAAGAAAGGAATTTATTGACCAAAGGGTTAGTTTCAATTATTTCCTCTTCATCGATGTCCTGACCATCATTCGAGCACTCATCTTCTTCTATAATTCTCCTAGACTCCTTGGTTAACTCTCTTTCTTGGCGTAATAGATCTCGTTCTTCCTGCAGAAGTTGAAGCTTCATTTTTGTTTTGCTGCTTGTTGATGAGGAACTTTTTAAGGAGGTTGCAGAACAAGATTTCTTGATTTTGGAACTTTGTGGGTGAGACTTCTTAGTGGTTGCTTCTACACAAAGAGGGCACTTCCAGCTGTCATTACCAATTACTTCGGAATCATCCTGTACATTTACGCATTCAAAACAGCACCATTTTTTACATTCTGTACATTCTACCATCCGTTCTTCACGATATGGCTTGTTGCACACAGGACATAGATCAATTTTGGTTCGTCCAGCAACTAACGGACCCATATTCGTAGACCTTGTAAGATTGTGTGATTCAGCAATCGCGTGTGATGAATAGAATTTGAGCTTGTTGGGAATTTATCTGTATTGATACAGACAGCAATTGACGGATTTATAGTTATCTGTTTTATTTGCGTAAAAGCAACTCAAATTCCTACAATATATAAAATTGACAATATAAAAAAAAAACTAATTAATTCCCATTACTTACTGTTCTCTTGCTGTCTGCTAAATTCTTAAATTATTTAAATTTTTCCCTGGGTGACAGTTTTTTTTTGACGTTTTTTTATATTATATTTGACATAATTTATGGAACAGTAGCAACGGGAAATTTTAAGTAACATGATAAAACTAAAATTGAACTAAATACATTTTTATACAAATAATAAATATTCGTAATAACATCTTTCTTACTGTTTTATCATACAGTGGATCATTTTATGCAAAAAAATAAAACACCCTTTTATAGTGTATACTATATAAATAAAACCCATATTTTTGTTTTATATTTATAATTTTAAGTTATAAAAAATAAAAAATAAAGCTCCAAAAGTTGAAAATACCTATAAAATTAGGCAGTAATACATATTTTTACACGTTTAAGACAGAAACTCAAAAACTAAGTATATACTTTTAATCAGCAACTTCTCTAGATCGTATTTGTGTGTCAATCATCTCAAACTGCTTTTTGGGATCTTCATCCAGATTAAGTTGTCTATTATTTTTACTTTGCGTATATTCAACAGCTGTGTATCCTAAAACTCCAATAACCATTAGTCCCATGAGGAGATATATTTTAACTCGTACGCACAAATAAGGACTGTAGATGTATGTTATAACTGAACCTGTAGACTCCCATAGACGGAAATTGCTAAAGGCAGCTTCTTCTTCGCCGGGAAATAGAATTCCGCTGTAGGCTACAAAAATAAATAAAACATTAATAGAAATAACTCTGCAGTCAAAGTACGATAGTCTCAATGTACGTAGAAAAGTTAAAGAACTCACAGGGGGACTAAGACGAAGGCAGAAAGGAAATATAACTAATTCCGACGGAAACATCATCTTGGACAAACAAAGTAAAATAAGAACGTAGAAAGAATATCTAGAAACACTATTTGAAGACCAAAGCGATAACACCTTTGAGCTAGAAGAAGAGGTAAATGATGGACCAAGAATATTACAGGAAAAAGTTTATTCCACAATAACACAGTTAAAGGATGGCATAGCGTCAGATTCTGATAATACACAAGCATAAATACTCAAAATAATGGACAACGAATCAATAGCAAAGATTGCAAAGATATTCAACAACATATACAATTCTGGAAGCTTTTGATACCGTGGAATTACCGGCAGTATTAGGAGCATTAGAACAAAGCCGAGTAGACTATAGATACACAAATTTAATAAAACATATATACATCAACGCAACAGCATCTGTTAAACTACATGACTTTACCAATAAATATAGAATTGAGCGAGGAATTAGACAGGGCGACACCATTTCCCCCAACTATTTACTGCAGCTCTGGAATATGCCTTTAAAAAACTAGATTGGTCTAAAAGGGAAATAAATATTGTTGGTGAATACTTAAGCCACTTGCGCTTTGCAGATGATATTGTCATTATAGCCAAGAGTTTAAATGAAGCTCACAAAATGATGGAAGATCTAAAACAGGCAATAGAACAAATAGGCCTGAACATAAACTTTGAAAAAACAAAATAAATGACCAATTTAGTTCCAAGTGATGTTATGAGGTTAGATGGGAACGAAGTACATTAGGTCTTTAGCTATATCTATTTAGAGCATGAAATTAGAATAGGAAAAGACAATCAAACTTGTGAGATCCAGCGTCGCATAGGATTGGGATGGGCAGCATTTGGCAAGATGCGAGATATTCTAAAAGGAACGCTACCGATTTGCTTGAAGAAAAAGGTTTAAAACCAATGCATACTGCCAGTAATAACATATGGTTCCGAAACAATAACTTTAACCAAACATTCTGCAAATAAATTGAGAGTAACCCAAAGAAAAATGGAAAGAGCAATGTTGGGAATAACTAGAAGAGATATGGTACCAAATAGGATAGTGAGAGAGAGGACTAAAGTGACAGATGTACAGAAAAAATTGCACAAGCCAAATGGAGATGGTCTGGACATATAGCACGTTTAAATGATAATAGGTGGACCAAAAGACTCATAGAATGAAGATCTAGAGAAGACAAAATACACCGAGGCAGACCACCAAAAAGATGGATGGACGACTTGAGAAAAACAGTCAGAAATTGGATACAGAAGGCGCAAGATAGAGAACAGTGGAAGAAACATGGAGGAGACCTATATCCAACAGTGGATGCAAGAGGTTGAGGAATGATACAACTTTGGAGAAATACCAAGAGAATAACTAAAATCTGAGTTTATTGCACTTCAAAAAAAACAGGAGCCTCATGAGTCATCTCCTAAAATTGTTCCTAAAGTTAATTTATAAGAGAATCTACAAGCTGTGTGAAAGTCAAATTTCTACCAACCAGTTTGGGTTCACAAATGCTGTTGGTACTAGAGAGACTTTGTTCTCAGTACAAGTCTTATTACAGAGATGCAGATACGTCACCTGCGACTTATACCCATGTCTGGTTTATTACGAGGAAGCGTTTGATCAAGTACAGCACGTCAAGATGATGCGAATACTAAAAGAAGCAGAAATAAACAACGAAGATTTGAATATAATTATAAATCTTTACTGGAATCAGACAGCAAATCTCAGAGTTGAAGGTGAACATGCTGACTATATGAAAATCATGCGTAGAGTGAGGCAAGATATGCAGATGATATCATAGTATTTGCGGAACTTAGAAGACCTACAAGTTCTTATGAACAAAATCACGTATTACAGTCAAGAATATGGACTCAATATAAACGTTAAGAAGACAAAGTTTATAAGAATTAGCAAGAAAAGGATAACAGAATGTAAACTCTACGTCAATAAATCCCTGTAGAAAGCCACTTACCACTGAGCCACAGAGGGGTTTGTCCTGAATTAAATTTGTTAACTATGCATGTAACAAAATGCAAAAGTCGAGCTTATAAACGATTATTTAAAATAGAGAGTTATGAAAAAACTTACTGGTTGTGTGGATGTGTTACTCTACTGTTTCCTTGGTTTACTATTTCTGCTTCTTCTTGATCTTCCTTCTGGTATAAAGGCTTTAAAACCTGTTTCTTCTTCAATATTAGCCTACTAAATTGTTTCAATTATCGCACCATATTTTTCTTGGTCTGTCAATACTTCTTCGTCCATTTGGTGACTTATCTCGTGCTATTCGTACTATCCTAATTCTATCCTCTGCCATTCTACTAATGAGTTCATTCCATTTCTGTTTCCATTTTGTCGCCCATCAATTTATGTCTTCTATATTGCATGCTCTTGTTATGTTTTCTACATCAGTTGTTTCAAGTAGTCGTCTCGTGTTAGATGTGTCAGATCTTGTCTCCGCCGTGTATGTTAATATAGGTCTAATTGTTGCTTTACAGATTCTTGTTTTTTGTATCTTGTCTTAGGTGTTTGTTCTTCCAGATTGTGTCATTAATAGAACCCGCTGCTTTACTTGTTTTTAAGCTTTATTGTCGTACTTCTTCTTCAACATCTCCGTAATTAGATATATCTATTCCTAGATATCCAAACCTTGCTTCCTGCTTTACTATTTTCCCATCAATTTCGATTTTACATCTTAGTAGGTATTTAGATGTTGTCAAACATTCGTTTTTTCTGCTATTATCATAGTGTATTTCTTGGCTGTTGTATTGAAGATATGTGTTAATCTTTGGAGCTCGTCTTGTCTCGACGATTAATGCGGTGTCGTCTGCATAACATATTATTTAGATTTATTAATTCCCCATTCTGTAATCATGACCTTTACCTATTGCTTGTATTATTTCATCCATTATTATATTAAAAGAAGTGTGCTTAACGAGCCACCCTTTTTGACTCCGCTTTGTACTAGTATACACTGTGTTAGTTTTCCATTTATCTTTGCCTGCATTCGATTATGTAAGTAGATATTTTCAATGATTTGTATAATTTTGATTGGTATGTTTCTTTTATACAGTAGGTGTAAAACGTCTTCGACTTGAATGCGATTGAAAGCCTCTGTCAGTCTACAAAACATAGATCTGCTGGTTTACTATACTCGATGGTCTTTTCTGTGATTTGTCTTAGTACAAATACAGCGTCTACATAGGATCTTCCAGATCTGAATCCTTGTTGTTTCTCTGATAAAGTTGTTATTTTATTGATTTTGTTAGTTAAGACTTTTGTGGTAAGCTTAATTGCGGTGTTCAGTAAATTTCTTCTTCTTAGAGTGCCGTCTCCCTACGGAGGTTGGCAATCATAATGGCTATTTTTATTTTTGAACTTGCAGCATTTAACAAATCAATGGATCTGCATTGATACCAATTACATAGATCCTTTAACCATGAGTTCTGCCTTCGGCCAACAGATCTTCTTTCTTGAATCATTCCCTGTAATATGAGTCTCAAAATTTTATATTTTGATCACCTCATCACGTGGTGTAGGTATTCCAGTTTTCTGGTTTGTATAGTGGTGATTGGTTCTGTTTCTTTACCAACCCTCTCCAGTACTTCTTTATTTGTAATTCTGTCAGTAGATGATATTTTTAATGCTATGCGGTATAACCAGAGTTCGAAAGTCCCGATCTTTTTAAATTGCATTTTTTTAAGTTTAAATTTCAGCTTCATATAATGATATTGACAATATATAACAGCGAATGGTACGTATTCTTCTATTCTTCTTCTATTGGCCTATTTATTTCTGCAGTATGATTATTGGTTTCATTGATCAAACTTCCCAAGTACTGATATTTTCTACTTGCTCTATCACGTTACCATTGATCGTCAATAGGTGATGTATATTTTGTGGTCTTTTTGTAATTAGCATGTACTTCTTTTTTTTTAGCGTTTTAGTAATTCCCATCTCAGCACTATTCATACTTAAGCTTTCGATAAGATGTTGTAGATCTTCTATACTCGTTGCTATGATCACAATGTCGTCTGCCTATCGTAAGTAGTTAATTAATTTTGGGTTAACGGTAATTCCCGCTTTGATATTATTGGGTGTGTTTTGGAAAATTTCTTAAGAATATAAGTTAAACAAAAGTGGCGATAAAAGACATCCCTGTCTAACTTCTCTACAGATATTCATTTCTTCTGAGTGTTGCCCAACAATTTGAACTATGGCACTTTGATTCCAATATAATGTTTGCACTATACTTATGATTTTACTGTCAATGCGCTTATTCATAAGTATTGATATTAGTTTTTCATGTTTAACTTTTTGGAAAGCTTTCGTAGGCAACAAAGCATGTGTAGATCAACGTTTACATAGTCCTTCTCGAGTACCATTCCATTTCGGAACCGGAACTGCGTCTCGCTAATATCCTTCTCTAGCCTCTCGTATATTCTCTTATGTATTACTTTCAGCAGTACTTTTAAAGTATGACTTATGAAGCTCAGTGTTCGATAATCAGAGCACTCTTTTGCTGCTTGTTTTTTAGGAATGGTTATAAACGCTCTGCCAGTACTTTCAAATTATCCTCTTCCACTAGTTATAACAGTTCTATTGGTATTTCATCTAATCCAGCTGCCTTATTGTCTTTAGAGTTTTTGATAGCATATTTGATTTCATCTATCGTGTTCTTTTGTTTCTATAAAGGATTTTATTCTTAAATTTTCTGCATTTCATCTCTTTTATCTTGGAAAAGTTCTCTAAAGTAGTCCTCCCATCGTCTTAATTTCTCTCGTAAATCTATTAGTAGTACTCCTTTGTTGTGTTTTATGTGTCCTTGCTGTCTATGTCGACCTATTCTAGTCACTTCTCTTATTTTTTCTGCATATTTCTCATATTATATTTTTTTTCTATTTCTTCTATCTCTTTACATTGTTTCCTCAAATAGTTCCTTAGCTGTTTTGAGTTTTTCTTTAATTATTTGTTGGATTACTTTGTACTTCTATAGATCTTCTCCTTTATATTTCCTTCTTTCTTTCATCTGTATTAGTATTTCTTCTGTCATTCACTGTTTTTTAGCCTCTGGCCTATGTTATATCAAACTTTCTTGAGCTGGTTTCAGTAATATGTTTTTATATTATACCACTTTTTATTTACATTCATAATTTGTTTGTTGTCAGTTAGTGTTTTTTGAATATTAACATTCACATTATTTTTTAATTCGTTTTTTATTTATTAGTTTTTTAGCATTCTTACATTAATTTTTAGTTGTTGTTTTCTGATTCCTTCTTCTTCAAGTGCCATCTTCGTTCCGAAGGTTGGCGATCATCAGGGCTATACGTATTTTCGAAACTGCTGACCGAAACAATTCGTTGTTGCTACAGCTATACCATTCCCGTAGATTCTTTAGCCAGGAGTTTCGCCTTCTTCCTATGGACATTTTCCTGCTATTTTCCCTTGCATAATTATTCGAAGCTGTTCATATATTTCGCCTTTTGTAATGTGTCCCAAGTATTGCAGTTTTCGTTTTTTGATTCATTCTTCTCAAGACCTCGACATTTGTGACTCTCGGTCCATGATATTCTCAGGATTCTGCGATACATCCACAGTTCAAATGCCTCTAATTTTTTGGTATTCTTATTCTTATTCAACGTCCATGACTTCATTCCGTAGAACAGCACAGAAAGTACGTAACATCTCATCAGGCGAAGTTTCATTTCAAGGCTCAAATCTCTTCCGCAGAACACTCTCTTCATTTTAGTGAACATGGATCTGGCTTTTTCTATTCTTATTTTGATTTCTGCTGAGCTATCGTTGTCTTTATTTATAAAAGTGCCTAAATATTTGTATTTGCTAACTTGATCGATAATTTCATTGTGTAAATATAAATTTTGTACCTTTTGTGTTGATTTCGATATTACCATAAATTTAGTTTTCTTTATGTTCAAAGATAGTCCATATTCTTCGCTGCAGTCTGCTATCTTATTCACCAATATCTGTAGCTCTTCAAGTGTTTTCGCGATCAGAACGGTGTCGTCGGCAAATCTCAGATTGTTTAATCTAACACCATTTATTTTAATACCTACGGATTGCTCAGAGAGTGTTCTATTCATTACGTCTTCGGAATAGAGATTAAACAGGGTTGGTGACAGTATACACCTTTGTCTCACACCTCGATTTCTTTCAATTTCTTCAGTGGTATTATTCTCTACTCTCACTACTGCTTTCTGATTGTAGTACATATTTGCTATTAGTCGGATGTCTCGTTTATCTAAATTCTTTTCTGTCAGGAGTCTGATTAGATGATCATGCCGCACTTTATCAAAGGCCTTGTTGTAATCTATGAAACACATGAATACATCTTGATGTATGTCAAGACATCTTTGAGACATAACGTTTAGTGCAAACAACGCCTCTCTTGTTCCGAGTCAATTTCGAAATCCAAACTGGGTATTATTGATGTCCATTTCCATTTTTCTGTGTACTCTAGAGTGTATAATTTTTAGGAATATTTTCAGTACATGGCTCATCAGACTGATTGTACGGTAATCACTACATTGTTTGGCATTTATCTTTTTTGGTATAATAACAAAGGTGGATAAAAGCCATTCTTGTGGTATTTTTTCTGATGTATAAATGCAATTGAAAAGTTCAACTAAAATGTGAATCGAGTCTTTTTCTATTAGTTTAAGGATTTCCGTTGGTATTTCATCTGGACCTGGGCTTTACCATTTTTCATTCTTTTTAGTGCGTACATTACTTGCTCTTCCGTTATTTCTAGACCTTCGTCTCCTTGTATGTTACTTAGCTCAGATTGTTGTCTATCATCTGCAAAGAGTTCTTAAATATTTCAGAAATATTTCTGATTTCAATTCTTTTTAATTTTATTTTCACGTCGGCAACTAACGGATTGTGATCTGAGTTAACATCTGCTCCAGAAGTTTTACTTGACGTTATAGAGTTTTTATATCTGCTATTTACGAGTATAAAGTCTATCTGGTTTCTAACAATCAGTATATTTATACCTCTATAATTTTTGGAGTCTTCTTTATCTCCTTTCTTGAACATTGGTATCAATATGCTATTTCTACATGCGTTTGGTATCTTGTAGTGAATATTAGTTTTTGTATAAGCTTTGTCATCTCTAGTGTTAAACTTTCTTCTCTGTGTTTTAAAAGCTCATTGCTGATTCTGTCTATTCCTGGTGACTTTCATATTTTGAGTTAGTTTATCACTATCTCTACAAACTGATTTTGATACACTCTCTCTTACAGATTACTCCTAATGATACATTCTCTTGTAGAGTGGTTCCTCAGTAATTCTACATTGAATTTTTCCTCGGCGATTTTATGTTAAAAATGTTTTGGTGTTATTTTCATTCTTATTTTTATTTTTTTACTATTTGAAGATAAGGAATCAGAATGGACAAAATAAGGCGTTAAAGTCTTAACATTTATAAGACCTGTCCTGTATATGTCGTCTAATATATGATTAATCCAGAATAAGACAAAATTAATCGTACAAAGATAAGTTGATTATCAGTTTTTTTATGACAAAGGGCGAATTTTAAATCAAATGTCTGGGTTTAACCAGTTTTTATAGAATTTCATAACTATTTTCAAATACTTACAGTTAATTTGTACTAACCACAGGGCATCACAGACTCCCCAAAGACCAGAAACCACAAAATAAATCCAGTTATTGTGGGAACCCGGTCTCCAGCACAGAAGTGTGATTAAAAGGGCTAAGTGTAAAACAAAAGCAAAAGCGATGAGCGGTCTCCTGCCAATTATTTTCACTATACTTCCTGAGCAGATCGACGCGATTCCGTTGCATGCTCCAAAGCAAATCATTACGAAGCCGATGTTGCTGATTCCCCAACCGCAGGATACGAATGCCTATAATAATAAAAAGAAACAATTAGTATAAAAACTTAATTTAAATAATAATAAAATAAAGATAAATTTAAATCCCAGCGCAAAATAAATTGAAATGGACAGTACCAAATTCTAGCTAAGCGCCCTTACTAACAGAATTTCGTTGAATAAATAAGGAGAACTACGTCACTGCTTCATTTCACTAAATAGCAGGAATTGTATCAATGTCTAGAGTTCCAGAGGCTCTTTTGATGTTTTGTTGGTGGCCTATATAAAAGGACGGTTTTATTGTAAAACTTTTATAGTTATGTGTTATGTTTTACTCATTAGAGTTATGTCTTCTTTTTTTATGTAGGTATTGAAATTCTGATATTCTTTTTCAGCCTTTTTAAACAATTACCTAGCAACGCCCTTAATTATGTTTTTTGTGTATGTTTGCGTTTGTTTCAAAAACCACTAAAAATGGTTTAGAAAACACTAGAAACATAGAAAAACAAAAATTGACAATGCTAAATATTGAATTTACCCCATATCCATATGGACATTAAAAAAATAAACCTATTAAATCACAGAACAAATGCGACAAAATAATTATGGCATTTTTATTGAATAAAAAACCTATAAATACAAGTTTGCCGTGTTAAACACTGGCCGCCACGCCAAACTAGTGGAGGTGTCAAGTGTGTACCAACGCAATTCTACCCGAATTTGCGTATAAAATACACGGTTCGTATATTACAAAATTAAACTTCAAAATTATTGAAAATCTATATTTGCCAGTTCCCAACAAAACATATCGCGTGCTTTTAAAAAATGATGTAACAAAATTATCACTTATAAGCATCAATCCATACATACACAAAATTAAAAAATACTACGCCACGGATACCGACCGTTCAGCGCTCAGATTCTTCGTCAACTGTAAGAACCTCATCAATTTTTATTACACCACTTACGCATTAAAATAAAGAAAATAAATTGAAGTGATGGCGATAAAACATAAAAATTATTGCCGACAAGTGGAAAGATTGTTATGATTTAAAAGGTTTTATAGCTAAAGCTTTCTTTGAATTTTAATAAGAGATTTTTAACTTCAGCATTTAAAGCGGTATACAAACAAAATAATTATCAAATGGCTGTGACATCCTCCCACCTGAGGCATTTTACAAAAGTAAACATGGCTCACAATATTAATATTGGCACAAAAGTAAACAAAACTACAGCAAATAACATAAAACCATAACAGACAAAATTCGAAATATAATTAAGCAAAAACTAAATCTACTCGTTAGCGTATCGCACAGGAGTTTTGACGCTGCGCCCACTTCGCGTAACAATTTTTTTCGTTTCGGGTACTCTGCTTTCAGACACTCCCGTTTCCGCGTCGTTTTCGGAGGCACTCACTTCCGCGCCTTCACATAAACTTAAACGAGATCCTCTGTCTTCGGTCTCTCCCGTGTTATCCGTTCGGTCATTGCCTAGCGTCTGAGAAAAATCTGCTGGGCACTCCATGGGGTAGATACGCTGAATTGGTCTTAAAAATTGACCTCTTTCTGTAGAAATCCTAACAAGCCGAATTTGACCATCTCTACCGGGAATAGTATCAGTTACACGACCAAGAGGCCAATTAACACGCTTGTCCTGGTCGTTTCCTACGAATACTACATCTCCTACTTTGACTTGGTGTTTAAAATTCTTTTTCGACCATAATTTTAACTGACCTAGATATTCATTCCGAAATCTTCGTCGAAGATCTTCTAACAATCTTTGCCTGTGCAGAATTTTTCTGGATAGAGATCTACCATCAACTGCATCACAATCGGGGACACCGTCTTCTATCTGATCTCTAAGGAACATCTGTGGTGTTAAAGGTACCATCTCCGTGGTATCTGATGTGGGACAGGTAAGTGGTCGAGAATTTATGATGGATTCACAATCACATAAGACAGTCAATAGGCTTTCATAATCCAGTGAAGCACGTCCCAATACTTTACGCAACAGTTGCTTCAACATGCCCACGAGCCTTTCCCAAAAACCACCCCACCACGCAGCTGTCGGGGGGTTAAACCGCCACTGGATCCGCTCATTAATACTGTTCTCAGCTATTTTTTGAAAGTCTACTCGAGAAAACGCGTTCTCAGTTCCGACAAAGTTAGTTCCATTATCACTGTATATAGTCTTCGGACGACCACGTCTGGCAATAAAACGTCTTAGAACCTGCATGAAGCAGGCGACTGACAACGAGGTGCAAAGTTCGACATGTACAGCACGATATACGGCACACGTAAAAAGACATATCCATGCTTTTCCTCCGGTGGCTAGGTAAAGCGGTCCCGCAAAATCTACGCCCGTCGTTTCGAATGCTACCGCGTCCCGGACGCGATCTACTGGTAACGGCGGAGCACTTGCCCCGAATGGCTTCGCATTATGCCTTTTGCAGACGACACACTTAATGATGGCTGATTTTATCGCCCGTCGACCACCTAAAATCAAATATCGTTTGCGCACGATACTTGTGAGTCCTTGAGTTCCAATATGACACGACTTAACCTGTTCCCGGAATAACAACCTATTCACTAAAAAATGTTTTGCCGGTAAAACTATAGGAAACCGAAAATACTCTAGGTCATTTCTATTACTAATACGCGAGTGTAAGCGAATTAGTCCATGCTCATCCTTAAAAGCGTTCATTCCCGATAATCTATTGTTTTTATTCAGAAATAGAGTGTCGTCACTCTTATTCCACTTTATTCCCAACACCTGAGTTGAAGCTGCAAGGTTTTCATCCTGTATTTGGCCAGTATACTCCCACCCTCTGAGGTCAAACTTGCCTTCACTCATTATTATGTTTGACTCTTCTATAAAAGTTCTCAGTTCCTGCTCATTTCTTACACTGGTAACACAATTATCAACGTAAAAACTATTGGATAAATTTGTAATTGTGTCTTCTGAAACATTAAGCCTTGCCGAAGAGCATTTTTCTAACATCTGCGATAAATGATAGTCCAGCGTAGCTGCCAATAAAAATGGACTACTACTTATTCCAAATACAACTCGACAGTGACGGTAAATCCTTTCTTTTCCAGTTTTATCTATCCATAGAAAGCGAAGAAAATCCCTGTCAGCTTTATGCAGGCCAATTTGCAAAAATGCTTTCCGAATATCGGAGATTACACCAATTTCCTTTTGTCTAAATCTCAACAAAATAGCTGGAATCAATTCAATCAGGTTAACCCCCTTTTCAAGACACTGATTTAAAGAAGGTCTGTGTTTTTCTTTGGCCGAAGCATCAAAGACCGGTCTGATTTTTGTAGATAAGCTATTTGGCTTAATTATCGGTCTATGGGGCAAATAATGACATTCTTGACTAGGCTGCTCCTCGGATATTTCTTCAATTATACCTTCGTCCAACCAATCCTTAAATATTTGGTCGTAGGCTTCAATATATCCGTCTTTCGTTATTTTCTTAAATGTGCTCTCGAGTCTCCTTTTTGCAATTTGGTAGTTGCTCGGCAATGCCGGATGTCCTTCCAGCCATGGAAGTCTCACTTCATATCGTCCACTAGAATCCGATGACACTGTTTCAAAGAAAAGTTTCCTGGCTGCTAGCGCAGTTTCTTCACTTGACTTCCTTTCAGTTGGATCACCAATGCCCAAAACGTCTAGCTCCCAAAGATTACTAACTGAAGCATTTTTAACAAAAAGTGATACAACCGATGTGGTATTATTGTCCCGTTGACCTAAAGGTATCTTGCCCATTAAAGTCCAACCTAATAATGTTTCTACAGCTACCAATCCACTTTCCAATATGTGCCTCCTCCCAGTATAGAGTTTTCCAGCAATATCAGCACCTATTAAAATCTCTATAGGAGACGCATCACCCAAGTCCGATAGTTTTATATTAAACATACCAAGTTCTTCTATCCAGGGACCATTAAATATGGAAGAGACGTCGCTACATATAACGTTTTGATCTAGTGCCTCAAATGTATAATTATAATTGTTATGAAACACTCTAACATCATAGCAATCATGTTTTTGCGCTAATTGGTTTCCTCCAAACAATCCATGTACTAGATTAATCTGTCGTTTACTAGGATAACCCAAAAGTTTAGCTGTAGATTTCAAAATGTACGTTTTTTGCGATCCGGTATCTATAAGAGCACGTACAACTCGCGACTTGTCTAAATAGTTTATTTCAATACGCAGAGTTTGCAAAAAAATATTCGTATTAGCACTATTAGCGAGCGTCTGTTCAATTCTTGGCACGGCAATGCCATCGTTTTCTTTCTGCTCTTCTGTGTCCTGCTTTACCCGGTGTCTTGAAAGTTCAGTGCACATTAAAGGTACATGCGATTTAGAGCAAATTAAACAACTTAATCGACTGCGACATTTTCGAGACTGATGTCCAATTTTCAAACAACGAAAACACGCGCCTTTTTCTGTCAAAATATTTTTCCTTTGGTCATAAGTTAATTTCTGTGCTTTAAAACAGTGGCTGCTTTCATGCGAATTCTGACAAAAAAACACATTTATAGATGGTGTGAGAATTAACTAAACCCATCGCGGAAGGAGACTTGTGCTTGTTTTCCTCGTGTCTCCTTGTTTTTGGGCCTGTAGATTTAAAATCTTCGGTTTTAGCAGCATGCAAATGGAAATTCTCGACTGCTAAAGAAAGGTGCTGCTCATTGTCAACTTCCTTTTTCAAGAACAACATTAAACTCTGAAGTCGATTTTCGATGCTTGCGATGCCGGCAGAATTAAGTGACGCTTGTGATCCGATACTTTCTGGCAATCGTTGCCAAACTCTTAATAAATCTGAAGGTAGACAGGATTCAACTAAAGGAAATAACATAGCCGCGTATTTATCCGACTTAATACCGAGTGTTTCCAGAACCCTCAACTGAGTCTCTAATTTGTCGTATAACAAGGATAGATCTAATTTATTGCCAGACGCAGTATTATTTATTACTAATTTAAGTAATTCCCGTACATAAACATCGATCTGCAAGTCATCCCGA